CTCAGGGGTCCAAATAGCGGCGATCTCACCAACCTAGAGATGCCTGAGATCTTAAACACCAACTTCACCAGGAAGTTAAACCAGGTATCCAAATATTCAGAGTACCATTCAAACCAGCGGACAGCTGAGGGAAAATCCGAGTTACTTCTGACTTAGTACTAAGGAAACTAAAATCCTTTAGCCCCTAAAATTCACCAGAAAGTAACCATATTGCCTAGAAATCTTTGCAAGATTAAATGATTTAAGTCACATCAATGGACATTTTCAAGAAAAGGATGGGTCTCCACTGAAAAATTAAATTGCAATGAACACACATTAACTGACCTACTATCGTTACTGCTGAAACTGAAACATTTCAAACAAGTAATGGCAGCTGCTTATCAGGCCATTCAAGGTAACGCAAACGAACCATTGGTCTGGCAAGTCTTAACAACAGGAGTTTGACAGGGAACCGTCTCAAATCTACACCTATTACTGATGTTCATTAATGACCCGTTAGATAAAATTAGCTCGTTCCTATTGATCTACGCATACGACAAAAGATTTGGAGGTGCATTAAAAGCGAAGAGGATTCAAATGAGCTTCAAAAAGACCTTACATCTGTTGAGGAATGGGCATTAGCAAACATGTTAAAATTAAACCAGTGAAAGTGTCACGTCATGTATATTATGCCTCGCCTGATATACAAATTACATCCTCAATGAAAATTCAATCCCTAATGTCTCCTTAAAGAGTTATGTCGGTTTAATAACCAGTTAGAATAACACAGGGGACGCAGCCAGGGATTTCCGCTTTATGCAAAGAAAATCGGTGTTATCACCATAAAATTATTCCTAACACACATTGAGGTTTCAAACTTCGTCACAGTACCTGACGAATCTCATAGATCGAGTGCAGAGATGTGCAACTAAATGGGTGATAGGTTTGAAGAATAACTCTTATGAAGACAGGCGAGAGCACTTTGGATTATTCACTCCAAGTTACAGTAGAACCAGAGGTGATCTGACAATAGCGTACAACATATTAAGCAGGACAAATCATTCCAACTTGAACATCTTGCTAAACCATCACCACCACGCCTCTCGAGGTAATCCTCGAGAGAGCAAACAGTCAGGTTCATGTACACTAATTCTCGTCAATAGTTGTGATAGGATATTCATCCAATATCCTAAAGAAATTATTTTGTAAGCCTGATTCCATTGATCAGTCCTCATGGGTTAATATTTAAGGTCATCCTAAACTGTCAAGTTCACATACTTTTAAATGTTATTTCTTATTGGTTAGTATTCACGGTCGACCTAACTGTATTAATATGCATTGTCTGTAAAGTTCGATGCTCCTCTTCTTCTTCTGTACAAAACCTCATATTTTCCAGGTGCTTGTAGAATACACTTTCTACGCCACATCAAGACATTTTGATACTGTTAGTGGGGGACGTTCGGATTACAGTGGCCTATCATGTCAATGCATCACCTGTTTTAGCTCTCGTTTACCGACTAAGGTGAACTCGTAATAGTTCAAGCACATCAATCGACGAGTCATAATATGTTGTGGCAACTTGGAACGATCTCCCAGCCAAGGTGACCACAGCCCCCTCAGTCGACAGATCTAAGAAGAGACTTGATAAACACACACTGACATATGAACTATCATCTCCCTCGCGGACCAGCTGTGTCTAATGCATGTCTCGAAACTTGTTAGTTGTTATTGTTGCCGTTTCCACAGATCAATGACTTTATCTATCTCGCTTATCACCTCTGTTTCCTCTCCCTTGTTTACACTTCTGTTCTCTCGCACAACCTTCACTACAAATCAAGTTAAATTATCCATTTATTTACTTATATTTAGAATCTTCTTCCTATTAGCATTAGCAATTTCTCCTTATTAATCTCCACATTTCAACTCTCGCCTGGTAACTTGATAGCTGATGGTATCCAGAAAATCTACTGCTCTGAAACAAACGCTCTCATGCAAATCAGTGGAAATACAGATTCACCAACAACTTCCAACTGACTAGAATTAGTGCAGTCGATTGGCTATTACCAAACACCTAGAACCGTCCCGAAAGAACGAGAATCGAGCGCAAATAAATCAGATGGTTAATACTAGCTCGTGAAAGACTTATTGGATATTGGAATGCGCTTGATATGAGCTATGACCTAAACATGTGCGCAAGTAACTTGTATTTTGCATAGAAGAATAAAGAGCAACGAGCATTGTTTAACCTTTCATGGTGAAGTAGACAATGCAGTCAAGATAAAATTCACGCAGAGCACCACTAAAATTTCAGTAATATAGCCCACAAATTAAAGAGAACAGCAGTGAAAAAAGAAGGGTTGTGAAGTGTGTCGAGTGGATAGATGAGAAGTTGAAGTAAGAAGCTGGATATCTGTGTATTGAAACCGGGAGTTCATTCAGAAAAAATAAGTTCGTAAAAAACATTGATTATTATACGTGTCACTGTCTAACAGTTTTTTTTATCAAATGCCAACCTGTAAGTCATACTGTAAGTGATTTAGTAAGCATGTTGCTGGTTTTCGTTTGCTAACTTGTTTCTTCTAGATAACCTCACATACTGTACCATACACACTCCCTCAGCTTCCAAGGTATTTCCAGGATAAATGCAAACTTAAAAAAGCCTGAAGTTATACTTTGTCTTCGTGTCTTGCAGAAGTTCTAGTTAAACAGTAATCATTCCTATTGCGTTAGATTATTTTTTTATTCACATGTGTCATCGCTGGATTCCACTAACCTGGCGAAATTACTTACCACAGAGTTACCTTGGGAAGTATATTGTTTAATGTAATGATGTTTATTACATTATGTCAAGGAAGATTTGATTTAAATTCATTTCATAGCTGCTGTTAGTATAGAAGCTTATAGCTTGTTAAAGAATCTTGCGTATCCGGACAAACCTGTTCTGCTGACCGATCATTTTCACGCATTGGCATTCGCAACACAGGAAGAAGCACAGTTCAACAAATGAGTACATGCTGCGGTTCAAACAATCGGATATTTCTTACTAGTTTTTCATACACAAACTTGTGAGTGCGAATTCGGTAAACAGCTACAAATCCAAATACGTGACCGCATGATTGCTAGAATAAATAAGAAATCGAGAAACTATCCTCCATGCCTACATAAACTGTTAAACCTACTTGCTTACATCTCGTGAATCATGGCAAACCATTCATGTCGATTACTATGAGCTATTTCTAAACTCATACTATTCCTCTGTTAGTACTGATACATATTTTAAATGGCCAGAAGTATTACCCAAAAACAGTTCTAGAAGAAACTTTACTCAGAGAGGGAAAAAGACACTTAATCTTGAACGAAAACGCGACTGACAATGGGACTTAGTGCACAGAAAAAGAATTTAACAGCTGCCATAATGATATTGTATGCCGTCATCTATTTAAAGCAATATGACATCTCCAGTCTAATGGTTTAACAGAAAATATCGATCGAGCTTTAAAGAGTACTATCTCATCCGTAAATCCAAGTAATCCAGAAGGGCTAGAAAAGTGAATTGATAATATCTTACAGAATATTTAAGAACTCACGAGAGTCCAGACAAGCTCTTCGAATCTCGCATACTTCAGACTCATTTGGTAAATAAAACACCAAAAGTACAGTTTTACTGAGGAAATAATTAACTACCATCTGCATGAATTATGATTCAAAGAATGCGTAATCGGATGGTAAATATCCGTCATCTGAATGACCATCGCTGAGTCGGGAAATTATAGCTAGAAAAATGTTTAATGAAAAGTATGATATACCCAATACTGATTAGATTTCAAACTATCTAATTCTTTCCAATTCATATTTCCCTACTACAATTTTATTATCACCTCATCGGTTGTTCTCTAAAACTGGGTAATATACACTCCAATTCCAGAAACCATATCAGTTCCTTCAATAGTGTAAATATTTCTTGCTGAACAATGATAATTACGATTAAATCCAACTACATAACTCCTTAAAGACTATATTCTACACATAAACTGTCTGATATAATTCAAATATCAAACTAGAGACAACACACAGTAAACATCCGTAAAGCCAAAACTTTTGAATGTAACCTGCAGTACTTAAAAAAATCAGAAAGAAGCGGTGGAAGTGGATAGGACACATACTGAGGAAAGCACCCAACAGCGTCACAAGCCAAGCTCTCACTTGGAACCCTCAAAGACAGAGGAAAATTGAAAAGCCAATGAACACATTATCCCGAGAAATAGAGAAAGATATAAGAAGAATGAACCGAAATTGAACTGAACTGAAAAGCGAAGCCCAGGATAAAGTTGGTTGGAGAATACTGGTCGGCGGTCTTTGCTCCATTGGGGGTAAACAGGCGAAAGTAATTAAGTAAGTGTTATTGACATACAGATAAATTATTACCTAGAGTGACAAGTCAAAATATCATTATTCTTTTCTTGCATGAAACTGGTTAATATCAACTTTGAAAACTTGCTAAAAAATAACATGATTATGTTAGTGAATAGATCAAACACAATTCGATAAGAAAGATGAAAATAATATTGTGACTAGATAATTTAGTTATAGTTACATTAAAATAAAAAAAAAGAGAGCAAATGACAATTGTTATTAACAAGACAAAAATTTACAATAAAAAATATCATCACATTAGTAGTTTGACAATATTCGTTTTTAATTTTTCTCTTCAATTTGAACATATAACATATCATTCAAGAAAATTTCAAAAATTTGAATTTGAACGCTACATTTTTTTTCGCGGGCATGTTAAATTAAACATAGCATGTTTTTTTGAGAAAAGTTTATATATAAATATAATTAAATTAATAAATGAACATTGATTTGAAAGAAAACTAAAACAATTTCAAAGCATGAACAATCAAATGACAATCATTTTTTGTTTATCAATTAGTTAATAATCTGTAAAAAAAATTCATGATAATGGAATAAAAAATATGTATAAATGTATATATATGACAAAATACATTAGAGTAAGTAATTCAAGGACAAATATTGTTATGATTAATTGTGATTTGTTGTTGAATAAGTGTTTTCCAAACAAGTTTAATTTCTAACGTTGCACAATCAAATTTCAATGTTGTACCATTTGTAAGTATGAGTAAAAATGATAAAGCTGAAATGAATTTATAAGACGGATATTAATAATAATAACATGAATATATGATGTGTTTGTTTTGAATGAATTAAGAATGTTTGTTATATCTTCTAGAGTCAGTGAAGAGTAATAACGAACATGATCGTATTCGATATAATAAGCTTAATTATGGTTGTTCAATTCATAAACTCAACGGTATAAGTATAATATACTGATGACCTTGAGCAGCTTATCAGCCAATCAGAAACGCTGGCTGGTTATATTACAACCAATAGCCAGAAGCCATAAAATATCAGTGGAATAGTAGCTTCAATATGAATAATCAACCCTGACATGTCGAATGACTCCTTGTGGTGGAAAGGAAATCTCAGGTTTATATTAAGACTCGGGCTAGTGTTATAAGTAAAAGCTATCCACCCCATAGAGATTTCGCCACTAACTGAGACCAACTATAATTCAGAAAAATTAGGGTTAGGCATGAAAATCCAGACTGAAGTTTTGAGTTTGATGTTTTCATCACGAACTATCGACAGTTATAATGTAATGCTGTCATTCTACAAGCTCAAAAGACTTATAGTTGAGATGCAGAGTAAGAATTAGAAAGAGAAGTTATTATCTAGCTTCATCAGATACTAATGAGAACGTACTGAATCACAACAAGTACTTTAAAACATATTACCTTTTCAAGCAGTTATGTTTTGTAATTTATCTTAAGCACCAATCAAAGTTCACTTTTCAATTTCATGACAGAGATTTTTACTGAATTTATCTATTATAAAGACCATATACTGCCAGTTTTTACTTTGTTAGTATTAACATACAGGTTATTTGTCGTTTCACTTTAAACTGCGTACAAATATCACGAGGCGTTATCTTAATCCTGATTAGTTCACTCAAGGCGCTCAATGTACCATACTTTTACCGACTCAATCCACTATAATCAAAAGAGAATGATACAACTGCTTAATTTGAACTGAAAAGCTACGCCATCCAACGACCCTCTACCTGACCCACCACCCTATCATAGTGTAGATGTTAGTCTGTTCTTTTAATACACTCAGAAACAAAGTCTTACCGCATGTGAGTATAAGCCAAGTACATAAATACGCATTCACTGAATGAGTTATATTTATCCGTAAAAAGAGAAGGAAAACTAAACAGCTGACACTATTAATCTTGTATTTGCAAATTAGTCAGCTATTCACAACGAACAAAGATTGTGGTACGAATGTGAGTTAGCCCCGATTTCCATAACGAAGTAGCACAAAATTAAATAAAATATTCGCGAAAATAGTGGCATAAATGAAAAAGAGCAAGCTAAAAACTTTGGCGAACACGGTTAAAAAAGTGTGGATAAATTCGAGGAGTAAAAAGTACAAATTATAATGAAGCTTAACGGTAGATAAAATTTAAATACACCTGTCCGACTGCAATGGATTCTGAAGTGTCTCTAATAACATTTTCCGCTACTGTTCACGGTTATCCGTCAGGCCTGGTGCATGTTAATCTGTGTTTGCCTCAACATCATGGATTGTTGGGAAATGTGAACAATAAGACAAGTTAACAACGATTTATTTATCAATAGTTTCAGAATATTACTAAATTAAGCAGAAAACAGTAGTATACAGCGTAAAATTGAAATTAGACATAAAGTTTAATTATTAGGTTATGTTAGTTGATGTACACTTTACTTAAACCATTATAACAAACTTTAAAAAGGCCTAGCAGACTAATTTTACTATTATTCATAAAAAAATAACCCAACTAACCTGATATATCATAATCTTGAAAGCTGATTAAATCAAAAGTTATTGGTTTATAAGCTAAACATGATGGTTTACAAGTATCAAGTACATCTTTGTCCGATACAACTAGCAGAATAGCATCATTTAATAAATAAGCGAAAACCTGTAAGATTATAGAAATATGAAGAAAAAAACGAAAGCATATATACATATATACATACACATGTACATATAGTAGAAACAAGATGTAGCGAAAAAAAACGAAACTTAAAAACCAATACATAATATATGCAATTGAAATCGTTGTTAGACCACCATTAGAAACCTGGAGGCACTGGACGGCCGTTTCGTTCTGGCATGGGACTCATCGGCAGTGCGCATCCACGAATGACAAACCTTGGCTGATGCACGTAAAGAATATATTTTGAGGAAAAGTATCATTTTTTCGTATATATATTATCATCTAAGTGATGAGTCCCCTACCAGGACGAAACGGTCGTCAAGTGCTTCCAGGTTTCTGATGATGGTCTAACAATGATTGATTGATGATTTCAAATGTGTAAAAACCCTAATCTTCATAACTCTAATTGAAAATATAACTTCAATAAATAAATAATAGAAAGAATATAATGTAATATCATGCTGAAGTAACTAACAAGTGATAGACGAACTAACTCCGCCAGTAGAACCTTCGGGGCTACTGCCGGTCCCAAGCCCGGGTAAAGGAGGAGGGTTGGACATGGGGTTGGCGACCCCATTCCGTCAAAAACTAACTTGCCAAAAAAACGCTAACCAGAAAAAATAATTCAAACCATTTTAACTCTGCCCTGGGAGTTGGAGGAAGAATTATGACGTCGCGTGATGAAAGCCGAGTTCCCTCGGAAGTCACGGGGCTGATGCCTCTTCTGACAACCAGAGCAACCATTTTTTTAGGTACATGGAACGTTCGTACATTGTGGGAGACTGGAAGACTATTTCAAGTTGCGGCAGAAATGAGAAGATACAACCTCGAGGTGCTTGGAATCAGTGAAACACATTGGACACAAGTAGGACAACTGAGACTAGCTTCAGGGGAACTGCTGTTATACTCTGGTCATGAAGAGGAAAATGCTTCACATACACAAGGAGTTGCATTGATGCTGTCCAAACATGCACAAAAGGCACTAATAGGATGGGAATCTCATGGACCCAGGATCATTAAAGCATCCTTCAAAACAAAGAAACAGGACATTACAATGAACGTCATCCAATGTTATGCACCTACCAACGACTACAATGACGACGACAAAGATCAATTCTACGAAAGGCTGCAGTCAATCGTCGATAAATGTTCACCAAAGGATTTGACGATTCTTATGGGAGACCTGAATGCCAAGGTTGGAATGGACAACACTGGATATGAAGACATCATGGGACGACATGGACTGGGAGAAAGAAACGAAAACGGTGAGAGATTTGCAAACCTATGTGCCTTCAACAAACTGGTCATCGGTGGCACAATATTCCCGCACAAACGCATTCACAAAGCCACATGGATTTCACCGGATCACACTACTCAAAACCAGATTGATCATATCTGTATCAACAAAACGTTCAGAAGGACTATGGAGGATGTGAGAACCAGGAGAGGAGCTGATGTAGCCTCAGATCACCATTTGCTAATCGCCAAAATGAAACTGAAACTAAAGAAGCACTGGACAACGGGACAGACAACATCACACAAGTTTAATACGGCCTTTCTTCGGGATACTGTAAAGCTCAACGAATTCAAGATAGCCCTCACCAATAGGTTCCAGGCCTTACAGGATCTACACAATGGAGAGGACACAACATTGGAGAACAATTGGAAAGGGATTAAGGAGGCAATCACTTCAACATGTCAGGAGGTCCTTGGTCGCAAGAAGCAGCATCATAAGGAATGGATCTCTGTTGATACTCTCGCAAAAATTGAAGAAAGGAGGAACAAGAAAGCAGCAATCAATGTCAGCCGAACAAGAGCGGAGAAAGTTACCGCACAAGCTGCATACACAGAAGCAAACAGGGAAGTGAAGAAGAGCATCAGAGCTGACAAACGAAAATACGTGGAAGATCTAGCAACGACGGCGGAAAAGGCTGCAAGAGACGGAAACTTGAGACAATTGTATGAAACTACAAAGAAGCTCGCCGGGAACTATCGTAAACCAGAACGACCAGTGAAAAACAAGGAAGGCAAAGTAATCAGCAACACTGAACAACAGCGAAATAGGTGGGTAGAGCACTTTAAGGAACTATTGAATCGACCAGCTCCTCTGAAGACACCCAACATCGAAGCAGCATCCACGGACCTCCCAATTAATATTGGCGCACCTACGATTGAGGAGATCAGTATGGCCATCAGACAAATCAAGAACGGCAAAGCAGCAGGACCAGACAACATTCCAGCAGAGGCAATGAAAGCAGATGTAGAAGCAACCGCGAAAATATTTCACATCCTCTTCAAGAAGATTTGGGATGAGGAACAAGTACCATCAGACTGGAAGGAAGGATACCTGATCAAAATACCAAAGAAAGGCGACCTCAGCAAGTGTGAGAACTACAGAGGCATCACTCTTCTTTCAATACCAGGCAAAGTCTTCAACAGGGTATTGTTAAACAGAATGAAGGACTTCTTAGACGCCCAACTTCGAGATCAACAGGCCGGATTTCGGAAGGATCGATCGTGTACTGACCAAATTGCTACATTACGGATCATTGTGGAACAATCAATTGAATGGAACTCACCACTCTACATCAACTTCATCGACTACGAGAAAGCATTCGATAGCGTGGATAGGAAAACACTGTGGAGGCTTCTTCGACACTACGGTGTGCCTGAGAAAATAGTTAACATCATACGGAACTCTTATGATGGATTCAACTGCAAAATCGTGCACGGAGGACAGCTAACCGACTCTTTCGAGGTAAAGACCGGTGTCAGGCAAGGTTGCTTACTTTCACCCTTCCTCTTTCTCCTGGTCATCGACTGGATTATGAAAACGTCAACAGCTGGAGGGAAGCACGGTATCAACTGGACAGTTAGGACGCAGCTGGACGATCTGGACTTCGCAGATGATCTGGCTCTTCTATCGCACACTCAACAACAAATGCAAGAGAAGACGACGAGTGTAGCAGCAGCCTCTGCAGCAGTAGGTCTCAACATACATAAAGGAAAGAGCAAAATTCTCCGATGCAACACAACATGCACCAATCAAATCACTCTTGATGGAGATGCCTTGGAGGACGTTAACACCTTTACATATCTGGGCAGCATCATCGACAATCAAGGTGGATCCGATGCAGATGTGAGGGCACGGATTGGCAAAGCAAGGGCTGCATTTCTACAGTTGAAAAATATCTGGAACTCCAAACAGATATCAATCAACACCAAAATCAGGATTTTCAATACAAATGTCAAGACAGTTCTAATGTATGGAGCGGAAACATGGAGAACTACCAAAGCCATCATCCAGAGGATACAAGTGTTTATTAACAGCTGTCTACGTAAAATACTTCGTATTCGTTGGCCAGACACCATCAGCAACAACGAACTGTGGGAGAGAACAAGTCAGATTCCAGTGGAAGAGGAAATGAGGAAGAAGCGGTGGAAGTGGATAGGACACACACTATGAAAAGCACCTAACTGCGTCACGAGACAAGCCCTCACATGGAACCGTCAAGGCAAAAGGAAAAGAGGAAGGCCAAAGAATACATTACGCCGTGAAATAGAGAAAGATATGAGAGGAATGAACAAACATTGGACAGAACTGGAGGAAGAAGCCCAGGACAGAGTTGGTTGGAGAAAACTGGTGGGCGGCCTATGCTCCATTGGGGGTAACAGGCGAAAGTAAGTAAGTAAGATAGACGAACTGCATCACAACGTCAAACTATCAGCTATGGGAGGCGGGGGGAAAGAATTTACATGTATAACCTCAAGTACTACCCATATTTAATACCAGATACATAAAACAATCGACTCAAATGAAATAATTTTAATTCTAAACGGAAAACAAACTCACTGGACCACGATACGACGTGTCTTCTACAATTAAATCTGGATATTGTTTTGAGCATAAAGTACAAATGAGATAACTTTTATAAATAATATAATGATCAATAGATGACCATTCAGATGCATTGAATGTTAATAATTCATTTGGATAAGGGAATAATGGTGGTAGAATATATTTCATTAATTTTGCTAATTGTGGATTCTCTCTCATATTAGATTCTTTTTTATCGATCGGAGAATTTGCATATTCAATGGATGATAATGTTGATGTAAGTGATGCATAATTCATTTGACGAATATTTGATGCAGATGAAGTAAATGGTGATGATAATTGATAATCATTTTCAGTAGATTGAGAATTTGAAAGAGAACTCAAATCTTTCAAGATTAAATGATCAACATTCGGTACAGCATCTTTAGATGTATGTGAATTGGATTGACATGTCAATGCATCTGATAAAGCTTTTAAAATAAAATTTAAAAGAAACACAATAAATGTGTTTAATAAAGGCATGATAAAACAGAAATCGAAACATCGTAGATTGATTTCAGTTGAGGTACTATTATAAACTACCAAGTATTGAGCGATCATTTCATACCACTTAACAGTAATACGATTATCGCGTCATCAGGTCTTTTAGGTATCTTGATGAATATTTAACCATTAAAACAATAAGGTTAGTGTTCAGTGGCATGATTTGAAATTCGATCAATATCAAAGGTTGATATGATGAGCAGCCATATAATCGACTGATATGAGAATGGGATATAAAAGTGCATTTTTTTGACTCCCCTTTAGCATGTAATCACACTTTCAGAAGTAACAGATATGACCTACTCCACTAGTGACATGTATTATTTACAGAGGCTTAACTGTATGATATGGCAAATGTCTCCACGTAGTAAGTTACTGATTAATTGATGTCAAATACTACATAGCTGAATGAATATTAATCTCACTGTGAACAATCTGTATAAAAATTGGTGTATTCACTTTGATTTCTCTTGTAGTTCATATAAATCCATAGCATAAGTCTTCGTGTTTTTAAACTCACATCGATTGAGTTGTGGTTTTAGTACCAAGGCATAAGTCAATTACGCATTCTACGAATGTTTCAAAGATATAGGCAATTTTGTGAAGAATATTCAATTTGAAAAATGTTTAAATCACAGTCTGAATTTTAGTACTGCGAATGAGTCAAACCAAAGATGAGACATTATCATTTTAAGAATTTGATCAAATATTGTATACTGAAAAATTTCTTATAGTACTTGATAACTCTATCGAAGCTCTTAACAATGCGATTGTGATACACGTGAAACCGAAGTTCACCAAAAACAAAGATTTCTCTAAATAACAGTTCTTTTATAACTGAATAAATATGAAGTGGGTACAAACCTCAATCGGTGGTGTCTCAAAGGATAAACTCATCTGAATATTTGTAAAGAAAAGGGTTTCGGTAGTGTAAATGACAGCTGGTAGCTGTGTCTTATGTCAAAAACAAGAATATAGAACTTGTTGTGTTAAAAAAAGGCTAAGCGAACGTACAAAACAGGGAATAAAGGTTAAAAAAGTCGAAACAATAATAATAATCAATACAATAAACGCTATTTGTTTATATAAATACCTAAGGATATCACACAACGATACGACTGGCTTTAATTTATTAAAGATAAAACTATCTACTGAATATAAACAAGTAGTATAAATCAATGGACAAAAAGCAAAAAACAGGCGAGCGGAACAATCGGGACAATGAACGTAAAAGAACATGACAGTACGAAAAACTTAATATTGAATAAATCTATTATTATTATCATTACCATTGTTACAGTAATTTGAATGATGCGGCTCAAAATCGTTTCCAAAAGAGCGAATGTATTCACCCATTGTCTTGCCTCAGATACTAAGTTTTTAAATTGCTCGTAAATTATATATTTCAGATTATTTAACTAACTCATATTTTCTTTAATCCTATCGTGGATGACAAAAACTTTTATACTACCACTAATACCAATACTAGTTCTAATTTTCTATGATTTTCCCTGACCAGTCGTTCTTGCCGTGCTAATGGGGTATGGCTGAAGTACATACCTACCAAGTTCTACGTATATGATTGACTGACTGACTGAATATTATAAAACATATTCGTATAAACCGAAAGTCTCCTTGTCGTGCCTAACAAGAGGATAGAAGGAGAAAAATCCATGAGATTGAATCTTGATTTTCTAGGAAAAGTTTTTTGTATCGAATATTTTGACCATTTTTACAAAACTAGACCAGGTGAGAAAAAATATCGCTGATATACTATGCCACTGAAGACAGATCTACGAATTGAGAAGACAACCCACATAGAACTAATTTTTAAATTTCTATGGTGCTTTACATGCACGTATATATTGATTTATTCCATAACTTGACTACATGCCACACAATAACCACCTCTCTACATTTCCCTACATGTTGTTCCACAGAAAATATGGTAGTAGTCGATGGGACGCCATTCGTAACACAAGTGCAAGCCAATGATGTAAGTATTTCCGTAGGTGATATTAACTGAATTACTGTCATTATGTCTGAACACGCATTGTCAAACCTTAGCATTACTAACTTGCCGTTCCTCCTGAATGTCAGCAATGTTCAAGGACAAACCATTGAGAAAACCCTGGTTAGAAATACGCCATCAATTGTAAGTCTAATTTATGGATATACATAAGAATACTGAGGTTACCAGGCCTAAATTATCCAAACTTTGAAATAGACAAGATATCATAAAACAGGTACGTTACGATTGTGTCTTGTTCCTAGGGAAATATCAGCTTCAATTTGCCCACGAAGGCCAACCCAAAAAGAACCTGTTTTCAAGGTTGCTTATCGATTTCTCTTAACCACCTAATATCCTAGAAATTACTCTGAAATAATATGACCGAATCCTATCTAGTTAGTATAAAACAACTCTACTCTAGCCTATAACAGTTGGTATTGGAAAGGCATCCACGATTCACTGCTATACATCAGGGTTGTGGTGATCGTTGAATTATACTGGTATCACGAATCGATCTAATTTAGACTGCTACTGAAAATCTGAGAGTACTAGGCGGTCATTTATTCCTAGTATGTGACTTATCAATGATGCGCACCCATGACAGTGTAACCAGGAATCACTACTAGTTAGTTTCGAAGGGAAATCCGCAGAGTTCTAGTGAGAAACAGTGATAAATGGAGTTCAACCGTGCCGGGTGTGAACCAGGTACCCAGTGAAGACAACGGGTGATCGTCATTCAATACCATGGACTGATCGAAGTTAGACTCCAACATTATTGTATACCAGTTTAATGATTTACACACATTAAGTGTTCATAAGCGATAATTGTCCTAGCTTCGTTTCCGGATCGCACGATCGTGAGTGCTCACTGTTGAAGAGTCCCATACTAGGATGAGAAAACCGTCTAATGCCTACAGGTTTCCAATAATCGTCTAACTTAAATCAACAACATTACGACATATTAGTAGTTTTGGAAAAAACTCCTTTATAGGAAGTACAATCTCAAAGTTACATAATCGTCATTATGTTTCGTGATGACTATTCACCATTCAGTTATCAAACAATACATTAACAATGCAACATTTTTATGAAATTGAGCAGTAATTACAATTATTCCCATTATATACGTAAATAATCATTCACTGAGATATGATGATGACAATAAAATCCCAGTTACCATGTTACATAATCAAATTCAGCCAAGACAACATAGTTTAATTCTTTCACAATTAATGCTCACGTAACCGCGATCAATACATTCACTCACTCAGTTGATATCAGGTCATATGAAGTATTGATTACAGGTATCAATCAATCAATCAATCAACCAATCAATCCATCTGTAATAAGACAAAGGCCGCTATTTGTCTAGTTGAATTACATAATAACCTTAATATCAGTTAAAATTAAATGACTAGTATTTTGCAATCAATAAATTCATGATTTATGAACTTGAATTTCTTTTCTGCAAAGAAATTTTCAAAATATACTGATATAGGAAGTTTATTTTATGTCTTAGTGGGAGGATTATGCACTTGAGTTATAGCTATTCGAAGAAGCTAAATGGTGATACAAGAAACAATGTCTTTGAATATTTAATTAAAAAGCAAGGTCTGTGTATAAAACTACAAAGCATATTGATGGATGGAAAAAATTATAGATGTAGGTAATGCATTACTAAACAGATATACACACTACCTTGTTACAATTGATTCGGTTATTCAGTCATACTCAATGTAGAACTTGGCACATAAACACATTAGTTCACGTCGTCACTACAGATTAGTTACGACGATGAAATTATTACGGCAAATCGCAGAGTAGAAGTAGTAACGATCTCATTATTCGTAAAGGAAATTATATAAAGTAACAAAGGACGTACATGAAGATTTTGGGAATCGTGATGAACAAACATATTTCAGTTGTACAGAGAATCAACTCATCGCTTTCCGAATGTCTGAGTGGTAAGTACTAACAAAGTTAGGTGACTTTGAAACCCATGGTGTGCCTTAATTCCCTAAAAGTTATAGATACATATTGTCTCATGTTCCTGTCTTTTGCGGTTGTTTCTGCTATCATTACTAGGTCATCCACATAGTTTCGCTTATGATTGTTAATGCTCCTTGATATCCGTTTCTTTTCTTCTGTGTATTCAGCCCGTGCGTTTGCCTTCCCTGATGTTGATCTGCTGTTATTGATTGCTGTCTTCTGTCCTTCCTTTCGTAAATGTTATACGGAGAATTAACAGAGATTAATTCTTTATGATGGTGCTGCTTGCAGCCCAGCAACCTTATGGCATGTTAAAAATATTGCTTGATGAATCGCTTACCAATAATTCTACATGGTAGTTGCCTATTATTTGAGTAGATCTTGTAAAGCTTAAAACTTTATATTAAGAGTTATGTTAAATTCGTTGAGTTCGAAAGCGTCTCGAAGAAAAGATGTATTAAACTTTTGTAGTGCTGTTCCACCAGTTGCTCAGTGCTTTCTCGGTTTGAGTCTCATCATTTAGTGGTGACCTGAAGAGACATCAGCTCTTCTCTTTGATCTGAGGTCTTCCATGAACTTCCTGAACTTTATATTATTGAAAATTTGATTGAACTGGTACACTTTGAACACTTAAGAGTAGGGAAACGATTTCAGTCAATCAGTTAGTTACAACGTAGAACTACGTACGTACGTACGTACATCAGTTCAAGTTGCCATTCCAAATTAGCACAGAGATGCGATTGTCAATTAAAATTCCCATAGTAGTAGATGTAGCAGAAGTATTAGCGGCGATCAAAAAGATTAGGGTTCTAAGATATTATTCAAGAGTTATAATTCAGTAAAATAAACTTAAAAAGAGAGGTATTCAGAAGGTTAGAATTTGAGAGGACATAAAGAATGGATGCACCTATGATTTCGAGCCATACCACACAGGGTCTAGAGTTATTTCTAATCTGGGACTTAATACTATACCTACACCAGCGAGGCCACAGCAAGCAGTAGCAGGGCTTCCAGATACACGAAGCGTAAACCGAGTCGATTCTCTATCTGCACAAGGTTAAATCGAATTAATGATTTTATTAGGATCCTGTATGCGCGTTTCGGAGACGCAGCATACAACGGTGGTACGAGATTCCAGAGTCCTAGAGCTCAGGAAGCCTGTTGTCATATTTGACACATAGTTCGAACATTAAAAGCTCCAACATGTACTTTAGAGCGAGGTTTCAGGAGACCAGGAATAACCTTTCGCATACTCGACTCATTTGCATCAGCGGCACAAGGTGACAAAGGAACGAAAGAAGGGTTGATCGTGGAGATAAGAGAGTTATTAGGAGGTGTAACAAGGATTTGATTATGGACGATTTGATCTCATATGATGACATTCTTACCAAAGAGATTTTACAATACAATTAAATAATAAAAACATCTTTTATTAACATGTCATCTACAATAAATGAGCGTCTCTATAAGCATAAGATTTATGTGAATACAAATCTTCATCCTAACAAAGCTGTTCATAACATACAAAATGAGAATAATCAAAGTGGATGTAATTTCGCAGAAAGAATATACTCAAAAAAAGGCAAACGCATGGGTTGTTTTGCTTACTTTTTATACACTTTTCCAAAGCTGGTCGATCTTTATGTTGATCACTTGTAAATTTTTCAATATTCTTTAAACCAGTTAATAAACATCTTGGTATCTAAATAGAATAGAATACAAGAATATATTATTTGGTGGACTGAATAAAACATGAAGGCTGGTAGTATTAGAAGAGTATTTAGAAAGTGACAAGAAAAAATACTAATTAAAAATATTCATGTAATAAACATACCTCTGATGGTAATGTAAGAAATAATGATAGGATAGGGACACCTGGTTCCATAGATTGACTCTGTAAAGTAAATTAAAAGTAATCATAGTAAGTGTTAGCATGTCATTCTAACATTCAGTCTGATTTAAATGAAGACTGGTCCCAGGTGGGATGTTATCGAATACCAGGGAGCACTGGAGAGCAGCCTCGTTTTCGTATAGAACACATTAAACACGTCGGGAGTAAAACCGTTGTGACTGACAGTTAGGCTAAAAAGCAAGCTAGCTGAAGTCAGTATTCTACCGTTCACGTCTGACGTAACAGTCATAATATTTAAGCGCTCAGTATGGGACGTGAATGTACTCAGTTCGATTCTCTGAAGAGAATGAGTGTGTACACTGCCGAGACCCAGCATTTTTAGTGGTAGCCCGAATGAGATCGATATGCGAAGGATACATACAACAACATTTGATATTTTTAGTGAAACAATTTGAAAGCTTGTCAGTTAGTTACAAGGTAGAACTCTGTACGTACGTTCATCAGTTCAGGTTGCCATACCACATTAGCACAGAGACCAATTGTCAATTCAAATCACATAGTGGTAAAGATGGTAGACGTATTACTGATAATGGAGAAGCTTAGGGATCACAGATATATTTCAAGTATAATTCAGTGAGATAAATTTAGAAAGATAAAGATTATGATCAATTCATAAGATTAGAGTTTCATAGAACACAAATAATGGATGCACCTGAGACATTGCAAACGATTTTGAGCCATATCGTTCAAGGTCTCTAACCATTCGGTTACTATCGTCTCGTGGACACAAACCAGGTAGTCTACACTTACCAACATTACTCAGTCCACTTGTCAGTGACTTCATAGATTTCTACCATGTTTTGGTTTGGCCGCCCCTAGCTTTCTTCCAACCTAATCTTACAGCTCAAAACTTCTCTCGTCGAGGCAGTCGGTGGTTGGGCATAAGTAAAATATGTCACAACCACCTCAACTGATACAGTTTCAACACATCATCGACTGATCCGCAATCTCTACATAGTACTCGTTTCCTAACAACGGCATTGCTTACTCAGTTGTCCCAGGATACACGAGTAATGCTTCGAAGACATCTCTATAGCCGAATATTAAGAATATACGAATAGCTTCAACTCTCATCGGCCATGTTTCGCATCCATATAGTATATATATAAACAACTTCACGGCCGTGATAGCTGTAACAGTCTTAATGTTGTCTATAAGAAAACAATTTAAAAGAAAGTCATGCAATTGAAAAAGATAAACCATTTAAACACACCACCACACACCTTAAGAAACATTTTCAATTCTGGATATTGTTTTCTTAATTCATAAAAATATTTTAAACGATCCGGATAAACATTTGTATAGTCTATACATTGGTTTAACAAATTGTCCAATATTGACAAAATAATTGTTCCAGGATTATCTAAATGACCATGTATAGGTGGTTGTGATGATGATAAACGGGAAGAATTCGACTGACACGATGATAAATTATGTGATAATTGATTCATTTGATTTCCTTGTAATTTCTGTTTATACATAGGCTGCTCGCCAACAGAATTATATGTACAATGCTCTGACTGTAGTGATGCTCTCCAATTATTATTATGATTATTATTATTATTATTATCAAAATGATGAATTGGTTCGCTGTTTTCTCGATTGATTGACAAAGGTTGTTGACTACTGACAAAACTTTTGCGCAATTTATGAAGAAATGACAATCGTTTATGTAGACCACGTCCTCCATTATTATTATTGTTATTACTATTATTATTATTATTATTACTATTATTATTATTATTATAACTAATACGTGAATCTGTTTTCATACTTTCTGACGAAGATAATGAAGGTTTCAATTTATTCTTATTACTTGAAATATCCTGTTTGAATGTAAGAGTACGTGATGTTGATGGAGATGTATGATTTGAAACAGCATATGGAAGACAACTATTCTGTAGATTTTGTTTCAGTTTGTATGTTTGAGAAGCAATCTAAAGTGTTGTAGTTCATTTTGAAAACAATAACAAAATTTTATCAGCGTCAATAAAAAATTGGAGAAAATGTAATTATGAAAAAAATTTAAAATTAATTAACTTGCATATGATATTTTAGGATCAACATATTTGGTAACGATGTGATCAAGTGGAGAATTAAAATAGAGCATCCGAGATTCATCTACCGATTACTGATGACATACACAAGCTTATGACATAATGTTATACCGAGACAGTTCAGTCAGACTGCATTTACAGTGACAGAGTGATCAACTTGCAAACGGTTATCACAAACTTTTAATGACACTTTAGGATGACTTCGTCAAGTGTTAGTTTCTTATTTAGAACTGTTTTAATGGATGACTCTATATTCCGATGGGCTTCAATGTTCTTAATGAAATCTGAATATGGCACCAACCAGCTAAAATTCCAGAGTAGTGAGTTAGAGGTAAACACTTAATATTATTGCTAAAAACTTAACCAAGTTTAGACAAAGGTAGGGATAAATTTGTCTGGTGGTTGAGATATGCTACGAAGGCCTGCCCCCGGTAGACTGTTTTGTATATATATATCTACGAACAAGGAATCAGTCGGTTCTGTTGAAATGAGTTGTGTTAGGAGGCGGAAAAATCCTTTAGTTTGGATTGTAGTTGATCATTGGCGATTTCGGATGACACGGCGCAAAGGTAATTGCAGTAAGGCAAATGCATTCACCCTTTATCCTACTCTATATCATAACCATAAGCATCGCTATCTTATTTCCATAATATAGTTCATTCTATGGAATAAATACTCTCTAGGTTTATGGTTTAATCATCATCGATATACTCATAATTTCAAATTATTTGACTGCCACCTTTCAAATTTTCGCTCAAGATGAAATGAATAGTGGTAACCTAGACCAATGCACGTTTTTGCAATGTGCTATATTTTTTATGTTTGACTCAGTGACTAAATAAAAACGATTCTACTGGAAGATTTGTATTTAACTATTTATTTTAAAAGTGTTTACCATTGGTACAGAATGCTCAACACTTTAATTATAAAAATATAAATAAGACTTAATGTAAACTGTAACAGTACTATGTATATTGATGAAGTATTATACAACACAAACAGTATAAATAATATTTCTTTTTAGTCCAGAAGAGCAATCAGATGAACCCTCAGAGTAGTGTGTTTTATACTAACAGTCCTAACTAATTACTTAATCACTATCACGACTGTCTAAATAGTTTAAATTAGTGGGTGGTCACACCTCAAACATGACATCAGCTTATGAAGTCGTTGACTTATCTTAAAACATATTGGTAGACACAGATAACCGTAATAAGTCGCTGGACTAGTCGAATGACATGACTTCGAATCAGTCATAAATGCATAGATGAATTCACTCGTTATATTATTCCACAGCATTGCTAGTAGATTATTTCAATTCATTTGCAATCCATCTCATTGTCCCAATGTATTATAGTAATTTGGACAAACGCATAATTTCGGTAGACTCTACGTCCATAATGTACTAACTGACTAACAGTAAACAAGTAGGTATATATTCATTTGAATAAATACTTCAAAATGTTAAAACTGTATACACACACCTAATGAAGTAATTGGTTCATGTTATTAATAAGTTTTTGTTGGAAACGGTATCATATTTACATACTTTTGAAACCATGAATCGATCAATATTAAACTACCATTAGAAACCTGGAAGCACTAGACGGTCGTTTCGTCCTGATATGGGACTCCTCAGCAGTGGGCATCCACGAATCCTGCACCCGGCAGGATTCGAGCCCAGGACCTTCGGTATTGTGCGCGAACGCCTAACCATTGGACCACTGAGTCGGTATCTAACGGTGTTAATGTCTAACTTGATCAATTCATATTTATTATGTAATTACTATTAACTTAAACTTCAAAGAGTAACAAACTTTAGGACCTCAAACATCTACTATATACTACTACTACTACTAATAATAATAATAATAATAATAATAACAAACACTCATTATGACTATGTAAAATTAAAATCATTCAATAATCAAAAATATAACTCTAATCTATCAACTTAAAAAGCATACAAAAATAATTATTCATTTGGCAAAGATGAAACATACTGCACTTTCATATAGATTAACCGATTTTACGTTGTAAAAGTAAAACTGTCAAGATACATTGTCGTGTACATGATTATGATGAGTGTGATGATTAAATAAACGTGATATAAACTTGATTAGATCAGTTAATATAAAATTACACATCTTTGAAACCATGAATCGATCAATGTTAGACCACCATTAGAAAAATGGAAGCACTGAACGGCTGTTTCGTCCTGGTATGGGTCTCCTCAGCAGTGTGCATCCAAGACTCCTGCACCCCGCAGGATTCGAACCCAGGACCTTCGGTATTGTAGGCGAACGCCTGACTATCGGACCACTGATCCGGTATCTAACGGTGTTAATGTCTAACGGCCGTCCAGTGCTTCCAGGTTTCTAATAGTGGTCTAACAAAGATCGATTCATGGTTTCAAAAATGTGTAACTTAACAATCTTCACGACCCTGTAATGCAAATTTTACTTCCGATTCTCTAACATTACTCTTCAAACTTGAACACACATTTGTCCAAGATTCAATGTTGCTTTAATATTTAACTGCGTTACACTAGTATATATTTTTTAACTAGAAAACAATATATTTTCAAAATGAAATGACAATAAGAATAATTAATTTTTGTTTTTTGCAAAAAAAACATAAAACTAACCTCAACAATATTATAAAATAAAGAATTCAAATCATTCGTATGTAAATTGACCATTTTTTGTAAACCAGTACGATATGCATTAATACCACTAATTAAATTATTTGATATATTAATTAATTGCATAATTAATGCTTCAATTGCCCATTGTCTATTTGCTTCATCAAAGCATACATCTTCCCATTTAAGATTTAACAATGGTGGCGCTAAAGTTAATATACGTGTACGTCGAGTTAAACTTCCATTACCATTATTACTGTTATTATGATTATTATTGTCATTATATGAAATACTTTCATCAATACAACATTCTTCACATAACATGACTGAACCAGCTGTAGTTGTAATTGTTTGAGGAAGATATGAATTATGATGATTAGTGGATGTAATGTAGGAATCAGTATTCGCAGTAGTAGTAGTAGTAGTAGTCGTAGTGATACAATTCGTAGAAGGTAAACAATATGAAAAACGATTATGCTGAGAATAAAATTGATCGTTGTTGTTATTGTCAATTTCTGTACCATTAATGTTATTCTTTGTTTGAGTTTGTAAATCAGATGGAATAAGAGAGTTTGATTCTTCATTTGAATTTGGTGTTGATACATTGTTAGCTAAAATGAGAACAACGTATACATATTTATTATAACTTATCACCAAAACGGTTAAACTAGACACATTTATTAAAGAGTTGAGTACATTTTTTTTCATTTAGAAAAAATAAACTTCACAAAACACTAGTTCTATAGACAGATATCATATAAAGAATGGGTGGCTGTTGATTGACACTGTTAAAGTGAACTGAAACGTCATAATTGTAAACAAAGATCTATGGATTAATACTGTATTCAAAATGGTGCTGAAAATTAAAATTGGCGTAATATTATCATGGATAACCAACAGCTACAAATGCACTGTCTTCTTACTCTGTTAAAGGATTATCCAAGTGGATATTTTTGAAAGATGAAAACAATATGAACACAGAACTACAAGTGGATTATGTAAACAATTAAAAGTAAATTCAAAAACAACATTTGGTAAATATCCGTTTATACATTTCAACACTTTTATTGCGACAACCGGTGATACTACCTGAGTGTCCAGGCGAAGAGAGATTTTAACGTGCAAAATACAAATTGAAAGTTGAATGTCCTAGACACTAACCCAACTCTAACCAAAACTCTATTCCAACATAGTCTTAGACCTGAAACCCACGGATATCCTATCTTCGAGACCATGGAGCTCAGATGTAACAACAATAAGTAGATGTCTCACACATTTTGGGCCCAAACCCCTTGTTTAAAAAAGTCTCCAAAATAGGTACCAAACACAAACACACTAATGTTATAAGTGAGACCATTAGATTCAGCACCTTTTCGAAACTCTTTAACAGACGTCACTCTTGTTGTAGGTCACTATTAATGACTGTGATCTCTGCCAGAGTCAGAACTCCTTGAATTCATTAAAAAACTATTCGTTTCTACTTTATTTCTAGATTCTTTTCATTCGCTTAGTCACTCTTTTGTTACTGTCTTATTGAGTCGGTACATCTTTAAACTTAAAACCCAAACTCAAGTCCAAAGACTTTAATTCCTGAATTACGAAAACGCTCAACCGAATATATACTGGGAATTCCGAAAGGTAAAGAAATCACTGAAGAAAAAACTGATGATCAGTGTAGATAACAAGAAACACAATAAAACAATGTATTTAGAAATCGTAACTGTTTTGTACAGAAAATGTGCTAATAAATGATTAAGACAGAAAGTTTAAAACACTCTGACAGAGTAAAGCAGTAATTGGGATCTTTGGGATATATACGAATATTTACAGAATTTTTGTTTAATGATACCCTTAGAGTAATTCAAATGATAAGTGGGATATACTGATGAGTGCATTCTATTGCCAGACAGGATCAGCAACAACGTACTATGGGAGAGAACAAACCAGATTCCAGTGGAGGAGGAAATCAGGAAGAAGCGGTGGAAGTCGATAGGACACACACTACGAAAAGCACATAACTGCATCACAAGACAACCTCTCATTTGGAACCCTCAAGGCAAAAGGAAAAGAGGAAGGCCAAGGAACAAATTACGCCGAGAAATAGAGAAAGATATGAGAAGAATGAAAAAAAAATTGGACAGAACTAGAAAGGGAAGCACAGAACAGAGTTGGTTGGAGAAAACTAGTGGGCAGCCTATGCTCCATTGGGGGTAACGGGCGAAAGTAAGTAAGTAAGTAAGTAAGCATTCTATTGCTCACAATTTGACTTTACATCTTAAAGAAAGACATGGTCTATTTATGGGTTGAAAGCGTGAATTCATCTGCTTTTAGAAAAATATATAACTTCATCAAATGAGTTGTAGTGTGGTGCGCGCTACTTATAAGTAGTATATGACGCGTGTGTAAACGTAATGTCTGGCAGCAGAAGATGGAGGAAGATCAAGAAAGGAAGAGTGGGAACTCAATGGAATTTGTATGAAACGCATGAATAGTGAAATGTCAGACAACGGATTGATGATGGATTGAAGATTTGCAAATTAACGGTTACGATATGGTTTTTCTATTTCACCGAGTAACTCTGTAATTTTCGTTAAATACAATTCGGTTGCCCTCACCTATGTTCTACTTCACTACAGTAGTACATAGATTCGACATGTAATTGGTCGATAATCGCTTAATTAACCGATTTGAACTCGTATATACCAATCGCAGAATTGGATAATTGTATGATATAATATTTACATTTAATTTACACATAGAACTCACCTTTTACTTTGTTATTCGAGTCAGGTAAATAAATATCTAAAATGATTGATTGATTTGGATGATTTTCTGCAGATTTACACATACACTTGACAACTTGTTTAAGAGTTAATGAACAATTTAATGGGATATTTCCAATACTTAAAATATAAGCACCAACAGGTAGTCCAACTTGATCAGCTGGTGAATTTTTTTGTACTGAATGAATAAGAAAACATTTATGAGTACGTAGATTGTTACATTTCTCCTCACTGTTTGATGAAGTAATTGGTGTACTAGCAAATTGGTGAAAATCAAATCGAATCATTTGAGATGTTAAAGTGAAACCATAACCTGATTCTGATTTGGGAATTGTGATCTGTTTTAAAGTAGAATAGTGTTAGGTACTTAAATAAATCAGAATCAAATCTGTCAAACTGATATCACAAATTAAACTATCAATTACAGAATTAATATAGGAAAAATAATGAATGAGCAAAGTAAGAATTAAAGAAAAACATGTTTCCTTAATACAAGGAGTTAGGAAGATGGAAGAATTCTTTAGTTTTATGTTATGGATGGGCATTAGTTTGATAACCAATGAAAACTAAGAAGCACTAAATAGCTGCTTCATCCTAGCATGGACACGTTATCAGTGCGCATCATCAACACCCACCTCTAATAGGGGTCAGACACAAGATCTTCGGGCAATGAAGAGAACTTTCTTTTTTACACAAAGCCCAACTCTGTTGATTACAGGATGTGATTCACCGATGAAAAGTCGATATCACATATTCAACACACAGACAAGTTTTAGGAATCACTGAATATTTATAGACAGTGTTCTTGTTCAAATACTAAACCACTAGAATAAACTAGTTATAGTTCAGCAGTTTAGAAATCTACCGATAATGAATTATTTAGGTTCAGGTGTCTGTAAACAGTATTTGTGAAAAAATACACTCTAACACTCTTTGAAGGATGAATTACATGCTCTCTTAAGAATTTGCTGCGAATATATTGGACAGTTGGTGATATTCAACTCTTTATTTTGAGGCTAATGCAATTAGCTTAAAACTTAAAAAGTCAGTCAGTTACAACATAGAACTTCATACGTACGTACATCAGTTCAGGTTGCCAGACCCCATCAACACAGAGACGAAACTGTCAGTTCAAATCCTATAGTCTTTGAGATAGTAGTAGTATTAACAGTAATGGAGATTAGTGTTTAACGATAGGATTCGAGAAAGATAACTCTAGAAAGAGAAAGATAGAGATGATGAGCAATTCTGAAGGTTAGAATTTGGAAGAAGACAATGAGTAAATGCACCTGTGCCATTGCAAACGATTTTGAGCCGTGTCGTTCAGGAACTCTAAACTTTCGTTTCCTGGACCCCAACCAGGTAGCCTACCTACATCTACCAACATGACTCAGTTCACTTGTCAGTGACTTCGTAGATTTCTGTCATGTTATGGTTTGGTCGCTCCTATGTTTCTTCCAACCTACTCACTCCTACACCATAAAACTTAAACAGGAGTCTAACTGACAAAAACATCGCAGCAGTTTAAGTTGATTAAAAGTTTATACTAACAATATTTCACATTTTTATTGATTTCCATTTTCCATTCAATAAATACTTACCTGCTTCTTGATAAAACCTGGCAATGGAGGTAAACTTCGATTGTCGTCCAAATTCACAGAAGACAATGTAGAAAAACTTTCCGTATCATTCATGGATGTAGTTAATGTAGATGGAATCGAATACGATTTCGATTTAAAAGATCCGATCGATGAAAGTTGCTCATGTGTTTCCAACTTTGATAAGCGTGGTATTGTACCAACTGACATATGACGACAATAACAAGAATTTTGTCCAAGTAAATAATACCATTGTGGTTTAGGAAAATCTTGACTATTGATTTCGAATGAAGGTAAACTAGTTGAATAATATTCAGATATGTCACATTTTGAATTGTTTTCTTGTAAATTCAAATCTGGTAATGTTTTAAACATGTTCATAGAGTTGTTGTCTTGTGAGTCTGTTAACATTTTCAAAGATTCAATGGATTTTTGTCGTAATCTTTCAATGTCAAATGACATACCTCCAAGGAAAATTGCATTTTCATAACCAAATCTAAGGTATCAAAGAGAAAAAAAAATGATAACCGCAAATTACATACGTGTATATCTTATAATTAATTACAAATCGTATGATGAATTTAACTTATATCGACTTATATAATTTATATGATTTTATCATGTCATGTCAAGGTTATTCAATTTATTGGTTAAACGTATACATTTGCAAAGAAATGGACAATAACAACACTCGAAAACATTTTAGTGTACTCATAATCAGTTTGGTTAGAAAACAAAACATACTAGTATCAAACATATGTGTACATATACAATTACGCAGGTAGAAATTACGCACATAAACCAGCAGTTACCTCCAAACAATAAAATTTGTATTTTCATTGGTACATAGATAAGACATATAAAAATTGAGTAGGTCGGTAAAACGGGAAGAAAGTGCAAAGTTAAGATGTTATATCACACACAATGATGACTCATGGTCTGTAACCACATATTTTATTTATAACCCCGGCATTATCTACACTTATCTATGTGCAATAAATAAATCTTTAGCTTAAGGTTTAAACTTTACTGGTTCTGTTTCGATAAAGATTGTTTCATTCATAAATTCAGATCAGCTAAAAGAAAATCAGAGAAGATAACTAGCTAACTAACTGACTAACTAAGCACTTCATCATAGTCTGAGACTTCTCAACTGTGTATAAGTGCTTACAGCCCCAAACAAGATGACGTCCCGAAATCGTCAAACCCTATTACGATGAACTTCAGATTACAGAAATCAATATAATTGAACATTAGTTTCAAATAAGAAGATAATAGGACAATTAACGAAGTTTATTTCGCGAGCTGTAAATCGGCAACAAATCAATTAGTTTTATTAAACAGATTTAACTGATCTGTACAATAAGGATCGTGTTAATGAAGACAGTAGAAGTGTGTAAACCTTATTGGACAAGTGCCATTAATTAGTGTAAGAGTAAGTTGAAAGTTAAGTATGGACCAAATCAAGACATGATATCAGTCCATGAAGTTACTGACTGCTGAATTGAGCCTTATTCATCGGTAAACACTATCTGATATAGATATTCGAGATTGTTATAATCAGTTATTATATGTTTCGGTAACATGATTCGGAATCAATTGTAATGGTACATATGCATTGACTATTTGTCTACCCTTAAATCTTTGGTTTAAAACGATTCTATACTTTTCTCGTAAATTTATTGTCTTTTCTCGACTCATAATGTTTATGACTGAGATCTTCTACTACAACTGATACTCTCATTAATCCTACTACGTAAGCAGTTATCATGATACCCGACCGTAGCTGCTACCTTGACGTCGTGGTCGGGCTTGCCTATCGTGATGACCCAACCAAGCTATAATGGCTGGAACATATGTTCCTGAAGGTTCTGCCATGCAAGACAGGTCGATTGGAGAACGATGAGACTAAAACCAGCTACTCAAGTTCTGAGGGTGAAGTCGTACCACTGACTACAGAGGAATGTGACAACAGTAAGGTGTTTCCGTCGGACAACCAGCATCTGCAGCGATGCTGCCTTCTCACAAGGAAGGAAGGGTTAGAAAAGGCCGACCCTAAAAATGTCACACTTCACCCTAATACGGTGGAGCTAACATTTTACAAACTTACCATAAAAAGGCCGTGCGTGACCGGCCTCAAGCAGTAGTTCCTTGGGCTCTGCGGTCACACTCCTAGGTCCTTAAGACCAATACTAATCTACGTTCGTTTTCAGGTTCCTCAAGAAACACCCTTCCATGGTGTAGGCAACCGGGAAGTGACCTCCGCCCTGATACCCGTAACAGCACACGAAACCGAATCGGTCACAATCGAATCCTCCCTGATCGTGTAAATGTGATGTGGTAACACTAACTAAAGCATGTATATGTAGGATTCTATGCTGCTTATGACTGACTTACTAAATGGAAATGTATAACGACCGAGAAATTGTCTGAGGATCATTAGGAAATATAAATTCGCAAAAATGTTGAAAAAAGGTTTGATAACAGCCAAAGAATTTCGTGATAAACATCTATAAACGAAACACACTCTTCATCATGATCCGTAACAAATCACAACAGATAACTAAGACAATGTTTGTATAAATGGCTCAACAGTTTATGAACTCCGGTTCAAATATTACTTTTAACTTTTGATACAAACAGCATAGCTCAAAAAGTAAAGTATACGAACTATGCAGTAAATGTTGTTGAGTTATGTTAAATAAAATTTCATTCAATTTATCACATAGATTTACAATAAAAAAAAAATATGATAAATTTTCATTGATACTGACAAACAGAAGTGAATCAAACCCATTATAAAAATTGATTTTTTTTAAAAAAACGAACAGCGTCTAACAATAAAACTTATTCGTTTCGTTTAAAATCAATAAACAAACGAAATCTACTGTGAAACACGATTTAAATTCACTCACTTGGACTGATTTAAGTATAATTCAATATATAATCGGTCATTATGAGCTACGTGAGAAATTTCACTACAAAGAAAATTATAAAATATAAATCATGGAGACGAATTCTAAAGCAATTATATATATATATATAGTACCATATTTGAATAAAGAGATTAACACGCGGTATAATCAGCTTAAAATCTAAAACTTGAATAAGTAAATGCTGAAAAATAATTCTAATCTATCTCAATGTTAAATATAATAATCTTTTATTCTAAATCAATGTAAATACTATGGTGAATTTAGATGATTGGTGGTAGTCGATAGGATACACTGAGCCAAGGTTTCATGCTAGTTGGCGCTCGTCAGTAGGATGCACTCTTGATTTAAACACATGAGCCTGTTAACGAGTTAATGAATTTGTGAATGGCATGGAATACTTCTCAAGTAGCCAAACCGATGTACGTAGTTCTCTTAGAGGCCTACTCTTTGAGACGTTGATCCAAAAGTCTCATCCACAAAGCAAGAGATTAACGTAAAGAGATGTAGTTCCATGGTAGCCAGCCACCAACAATAGGTTCACACGCTATTCGTTCCATCAGGATCTTGGAGCCCAAGTGCACCATCGGTTTGGAGTTAGGGATTTCCAACTCCTCTGCGTGGATAACTCACAATCATCAATCAGGTTAAATCATCGAACACGCGTTTTTCGTCCCCTCAATTTCGTAAATAACACTCATGTAGCGAAAAGGCAGTGCGTAGGTTTTCGCTGGTAGCGGCTATACACCCGCGATCATATGTGAGCGTTTCGAGAGAGAGAATAAAGTCTCCCCATTCCCAAACGTACCAGGACATTTGGGGGTTTAGAATCAGGATCATACAGCTTCCCAATCTAAGACATTTTCATTGAGTTACCAGGACAGCGACTAACTGTGGGAATGGAAAATTTATAATTGATTAATTAATGGATCGTGAACTACAACATGTTTGTCTAGTCCTTTTATTGCTGCTCAAATTATATCGAACGATTTGTAATGAACCCACTAATCAATATGGCACGCATCTTGATGATTAACCAAGTCACTGATTTGTTTACTTACTTACTTACTTACGCCTGTTACTCCCAATGGAGCATAGGCCGCCCACCAGTATTCTCCAACCAACTCTATCCTCGGCTTCCCTCTCCAGTTCTGTCCAATGTTTGTTCATTCTTCACATATCTTTCTCTATTTCTCGGCGTAAGGTATTCTTTGGCCTTCCTCTTTTCCTTTTGCCTTGAGGGTTCCATGTGAGGGATTGTCTTGTGACACAGTTAGGTGCTTTCCGCAATATGTGTCCTATCCACTTCCACCGCTTCTTCCTGATTTCCTCCTCCACTGAAATCTGGTTTGTTTTCTCCCACAGTATGTTGTTGCTGATGGTGTCTGGTCAACGAATACGAAGTATTTTGCGTAGACAGCTGTTAATAAACACTTGTATCTTCTGGATGATGGCTTTGGTAGTTCGCCATGTTTCCACTCCATACAGTAGAACTGTCTTCACATTTGTATTGAATATCCTGATTTTGGTTTTTGTTGAAAGTTGTTTGGAGTTCCAGATATTTTTCAACTGTAGAAATGCAGCTCTTGCTTTGCCAATCCGTGCCTTCACATCTGCATCGGATCCACCTTTGTTGTCGATGATGCTGCCCAGATATGTAAAGGTGTTAACGTCCTCCAAGGCATCTCCATCAAGAGTGATTTCACTGATTTGTTTACTTCTCCATGAAGTTTGATTACTGTTTGACCACCAACAACCGAAGTATATTATAATAATTAATAAATATAAAAACAACGCTACATTTACATTGCCTTAAAGAGTAATATAACTTACAATGAAAAGTTTTCGTTAAAGACTGGTGCAGTACAATCGGGGACAGATTTAGTTCGAAGTTGATAAGTACTGATGTTAGGCGAGTACTTTGGTGCTATTCGAATCTATAAGGAATTGAAACGGTACACTTTAAGTTTTCATAGAGTTTTACTAAACAACTTATTTAAAGACAACACTGTGATCAAACTTTACTGTAACTGCTTTAACATGGTCAAATTACTTATCATAAAAACAATATGAAGTTAGATTGGTCCGAACAGTTTCTGTTTCACGTCAGGGATTTTTGATGTTTCAGAGTATGAAATGTACTAGCTACAAATACAGATCTCGTTTCCTGGTTTGACTATTGAAATGTTAGCTTCAACAGATTCTCCAATGGCTAAGTGATAATACTTAACTTTAATACTTCTGTGTGTGTAGTTGTGGGAAGATATGAGTAACTCTGTGAGAACATCTCTCAAGAAGCAACTGTATGGTTATGTCTTTCACCATATAATTATTTAAAACAGAAGTTACTAAAACAGAAAAACGAAAACATAACTATTGCTACATATGAATATGAGTTCAAAACAGTTTATAACTTACTTCTACAAACATTGTATAACCTTCGTCTACAGGCACTTGAAGATAACGAGCTTTGATTACTAAAGAAACAAATCAAAGTAATAGTTATAGTTTAAAGATATACAATGAGTACTGACTATTTTGTAGTAGAAAGAAAACATTTCATTGTTTACACAAACGAGAAATGTGAACTACCCAGTTGTTTATTGAAGACATGATCCTGGATTAATATAAGCAATCAACTTTAAATCACTGTACTGCATGTCTGTGCTCTACCCTATACACTTTAAACTGAGCAGCGATAAGTGTCATCAATCCTCCTCCAAAATGTATGGCATTTAACCGAAAATATTAGAGCTTCGTTTGGAGAAATTTTTTTGTGAGACTGATAATAGATAAATTGTCATTGAAAACTAGAAATAATGCAATGCTTTTTCCTAGTTCCTAGTACACTTCAGAGGTGTACTCGTACAAACTTAAATGGACAGTAAAATCCAAGATTATGTCTCGTGGAGATCACGCTGTATTTAGACAAGAGTTACAATTAGATGATTCCTATTTCTAACTTTTATCAAATTTCAACATGATGTAGCTGTTAAAATAGATGGTTAGTGCGGTGATTTTTGAACCGATGCTAATTTTTACCAGGTCTGATGTTGTTCATAAACGACTCACTGATTGAAAAAATTTCGTGATGTATAATACTCACAAACGAGGCCTATAAGTAGAAAGCAGTGGGTATGCGGTAAAGTATCGTCCAGAAGCACTAAAAAAGAGAAGTATCGTATTATGGAGGATGTAACGGTCAAACTTGTAAGAAGAATAGAGCACATGTGAAAGAAGAAAGTCAATATTCTGATTATTTTACAAATAGGAACCTGAAGATAAGGTAGTAAACCGTGCATTATTCCAATAAATTACGTCTTCGGTCATCAAGTGGCAAATCTGCAATTAACGGACAAAATGAAAATCATAAAGTAACCAATCTTGCTTCACCTCCGTTTATCGGGCCATTCGTTAGCCCTGTTCGCTGACTTCAAGACTTTGAATGAAGTGTAAAATAATAATCACTTATTTAAACAAATATGAGAAATACTTGTTAACATCTATCACAGGCTTTCATCAAAAAAGTTTGTCAACCAAATAAAGACTTCATTTAGTTGATCAATCTCAAGTTCGAGGCCTGCTGAATAATATCACTGGCTTACATATAGTCAATATGAATCAAATTAAAGTACAGGGAATAATATAGATGAAAAGTAATTTTAGGTTATACTTCAAGCGATTATACAAGAGAATGATTTGAAACTAATAGTAAAAACGAATCTAAATAAAAGATGTAGTTTTCTTTTCTAAATATGAGAGAAAACTGAAAGTCATAAGAGATAATGTTTCAGTGATACCACTTTTGTATTAAAGACAGTTTAGTCATACTACATTTTTGTTCAATAGATAGATGTAAGGTTTCGCCAATTAAAACAAATGTGCATAATGAATCGCAAAAAATGTCCTCGGTGACAGGATAGATAAACAAGAATTAGTGTGACGAAATTTTGATGAAGATTGCAGTTTTTATGATCTTGCCTAGACCACTACTGAAAACCCATTGCAAGCGATTTTGAGCTATGTCATTCATGGTTTCGAACTATCAGTTACTATCATCTCGCGGCCCCCAACCGAGTAGTCTACACGTATTAATATGGTTCAGTCCACTTGTCAGCAACTTCATGGATTAGTACCATGTTTTGGTCTGGCCGCCACTAAGTTTCTTCCAGCCTACCCCTACAACAGGCATCATCGCTCGCTGAGGCAGTTGTTGGTTGGGCACTCGTAATACGTGTCCCGACTAGCTCAATTAATGAAGATTGACTACTTCATCTACTGATGTGCCATCGTTAACCTAATATCCTTTTCCTAACACTAGTACTGCTTACTGGATTGTCCCAGGATATACGAGCAATGCATCTTGGACATATATGGTCGAATACTTATAGCCTACGAATATCATCTCTTACTTTCTTATATCAAAATAAGAGGTAATAATGTTAGTTGTAAATAGAAAATATCAGAAACGACAATCTGACAAAACTTAGCAAAAAATCATTAGTTAGCAATACAGTTATCTTGATCTCAAGTCAAGTAAAAATCCACTGAACCCATAAACAAAAATGTGACTATTCAATCCAAAATTTGATTTTTTTTGATAACTGAATACAAATGTCACAGACATAATTTAAATAAATAAAATAAATGATTTGCATAAATTTTACATGATTTTTTAATCTAGCGTAGACTTTAAATTTACTCCCATTAAATCATGATGCATTAACCCCTTCAATATTCACTTAAATCGATCTATACAACGGTGGTTGTCATCATGTTAGAATACTATATAGCTAGAAAAACAATCTCACACTATGATTGGTGAGGCTTGAACTTATGTTTTTCAAGTACATAAGTGAATTTATGACAGATGTCCTTGTTAAGCAAGTAAATGTTGACAAGATTATGAGACAGTTACAATGACTACTTGAACTTTTTTTATATTATATTCCCTAAGGGAATAATATCTCTTGTTAATGAAATACACTTAAAATAAATCAATAAAACAACAGGGTTATTTTGGGGGAATGTATAAAACTTTTCAATTTGTAAATCAAAGTCAGACTATTAAACCTGTGAAAGTGAAGAACATAGGTAAGTATTTTGTTTTATTCTAGGAAAACAACTTTTGAAGAAAAACGAGGAAATTACAAAACGTAGAGCCAAAGGAATAACGATAATGAGGTAAACAGAAATAGGAAACTACAAAAATCAATAGGCAACGATGGGAAATAAATTGTACACAACAGTCAAAAGTTTAAGATTTAAATATTACCCAAAGTTCCTGACAATAAAACTCATTAGTCTCATCGACTTGTAGCCAGATATTTTATTGATTTACAGCCAGGAAGCCTAAATTTTAAGTACAGTTTAAACCACTAGCTTAACTTTGTGACTTGCAGTTGTACCACCACGTGAACAATCAATACGTTGATTTTATACAATTCATATAGCAGTTTGGGTATATATTTCTACCAATAGATAGCCGATTCCCAATCCCAATCAGTTTAAACATCGTGGTTTGTTTCACTTATTTATTCAAATGGAATACCACTGCAAAACTATAAAGGATGCTATCGTTTAATCAATCATTTTGAGCTAATCACAGACTTTCGGCAACAGACGCCTTTAGAGGTGGTATACGGGTTAAAAAGTTTGACTAATAGCCATTAAGTGCTTGGCTCGAGCTTCTCTCTGCCTGATTCGGTTTGGATAACTGAGTAGTGTCAGTAACATCCATATTTATAATGTCACTCATACACAAGTACCAAATCATTGAGTTCATTTAATTTAGCTGTACAAACAGAAATTTCTCTACCGAATAATCAACTACTTATATACTTCAATTCAGAAAAACAATATACAATCTTGGAATTTGGCTGTAATTATAAAAATCAATTTCACTCAATAATTAAGTTCACGTTTATGTTTTTTCTTATCTCTAGTCAACTGTTTTATGTCACGACTACAGAATCTAAGCAGATAAAGATAAGATTTAAATTTCTAATCGAAAAGTATTTATTAGGCGGCTATGATTACTGAAGATCCGAACTTCAATCAATATATTCAAGTCATAATCAGAATCAACACGAAATAGATAAGCTTTATTCGCGTAAACGTACATTATCGTATATACATACATACAATGAATTCTTAAACAGAATTCACTCAAAACTAGTTGATGCATACCAAATGGTATTCCGTACATCATATTAAAAATGAACATCAAAACAACTATTGTTATAATAAATGTTTTGTCTAACTAACAAAATCTTTCGTTTAAACAATAAAATAAAGACTACATTATTCAATGAAAATTGATACAACTTAAAATGTGAGTAGTTATTCTTAATTTAAAATGTATACTCTATAGAATTTGATTTACAAAATAGATTGAATTGTGTGTACATTAGACAGAATATATATATAATTCAGATAATAAACTTACCTTGTATACGTATACAATTGTCTGTGATTTGTAGTGCAAGTTGTAATTGGCCTATATTATATAAATAATCCAGTTATGAAATTAAGGTGAATAAAATTTGAACTGAAATTATTATTGAGAATAATAACTATAAATAATTGCATTTTACATTAAATATACTTCAAAGTTTATAATCAATGGACTCATAGTGATTATTAACATTCTTCAACCCTTCTAGTTTTAACTTTCTAAACTTTTCTCACTGAATCATACTTCTTGAATAATATCTTCTAATCCTAACCTCTTCGATTACGTCTAATACCTTTACTACCTCTTCTACTATTAGATTTGAATTGACAACTATATCTCTGTGTTGATAAGGTATGGCAACATGAACTGGTGTACTTATGTACAAAGTTCTACGTTGCATCTGACTGACTGACTGACTGATTATTAACATTATTACGTGAAGTGATTTCGTGATGATTTCATATTTCCATCTCGTGTAGTGTTGTTACTTATGAACAATCTTGTGGAATGCCAAAATAGGATGAAATAACTATTTAGTACTAGAAATTATGAAGAGTTCCACATGTTGTCTGATCAAATGACATCAAAGAAGAATATTTCGGTGGACTGTAATAAAAATATATAAACTAGATGAGTCGTAATTTTACTAATAGAATGGAAAACCCAATAATCAGATTATATCAGGTGAAGTTACTTTCATTTATAGTGAATCAGTAAATAAACTGAAGGACGAAGTTATATTACATGTATTTAATCCCCATAAAATGAGGACAGCAAAGAGACATTGTCCTAAATATTATGTTCTGAAGGTTAGGCCAAACCGGAGCAGTTGGTTTCCTCAGGAGCCTCAGACTTGGAGTTAGGACCTCCGTGGTGGACACAATGAACACATGGTCATATGAGAATTTCGAGAGGCATAGTGGGGTAAACCACGCCAGGTTATCTGAGATGATATTAACACAATATCGCGATATATATGACTAGTAAATCAACTCTTATCTATAAGCTTTACGTACATGAATTGTGGAGTGGCGATAGAGGTTAAAACAGTCGACCTCTAACAGTCACATTTCAAATTAGACCCCTGTTGCACATAGTATCGTCAGCCTTCACGTAAATAAAAGTTTGAGCTGAACATGAGTGCATAAAATCCGTACTTAGCAAATAAATCAAGCCAACTGATCGTAAGTCTGGTTGAATAGAAGATATAAACTCACCTTGCCAACAAAGACGATCATAACATTCCGTTGTGGCTAAAATACCATTTTGATTCTCCACTGGAATATCTATCTGATTATCATCAACTTCATTTAGATTAAGTTTATTATTTAAGGATAATAACGAAAAATCTGAATTTAAAGGTATCATAATTCCATGACAAAAGAAATGAAACGGTATCATCCGAGTCAACTGGACAGTTGTTGTTATAACAAAACTGTAGGCAATGATGAACTATGATATTAGCATAGGATAGACTAAAAGTCTACTCTAAATTTGTTTGACCCATTGAGGTCAGAGGGGACATGTGATTTTCATTGAGTGAATCAGCCTCATAAAGTGATAACCAATCATATTGTAAAATGAATATTTTGTATTTGGCCTATGGATGAAATCGATCGACACAGACACACAATCATTTGGTCCTATTGATTTTTGATGACGAACCAGACAGCGTGATCGAAATTTGGGTTGACCAATTTTTATTTGATCATTTGAATGATGTTGATTGAATGTGGATTCTCCACCTAAATTAGATTGTATTTGTTTGAACGAGAAATTATATTTTATGAATTTGGCCCATTGAGAAAAACATTTTCTAACTATTAGTCACAATTGTCAAGATGAGGAAAGATCAATATATGTTTAGAAGTTCAGTGTAGATTCGCCCATAGGAAACTCTCTACCAGCATAGGGTATCATCACTCGAGCCCTAATGTGGTCAGAAAAGTAGTTGAATAATACAGAGGCATCAGTTATCCTGACTCTCACGTTTCAGTTTCTATTCGTAAAACTTAACAAATATTAAGACATTCCTTATTATCGAACAGCTGTATATTCAAGCGTACGCTTATAACGTATTCAGGGAAGTAGTTTGGTGTAAATCGTTCATAAAGCACTGCAATAATGAACAGTGGTTTTAACAGGGAGAATTCTGAAGGACAGATCATGTTTAAAAATATTCCTGAAGTTGTATGTTATTAAATTACTGTGAAAATGAATATAAAATTACGTTTTCAATTTGTTAAAACTAGTTTGTATGCATTTATGTTTAAGAGATTACAGCCTTTTCGACTAATCAGAAATTCATTATATGAAATAGTCAGATTGTTTATCAATGAGATACTCTCAATTTTTATCAATGAACCATGTTGCGTAAATGAAGTATTCAGTAGTCAAATTCATCCCACAGGAAGTTGGGAGTGATATTATGGGGTGTAAGAATAATTTGATTTTGATCAATTTAGTCTCTCGTGCTGTTACGGGTATGAGGGCGGTTGTCACTTCCCGGCTGCCCACACCGTGGGAGGTTGTTTCTGGAGGAACCTGAAAACGAAAGTAGATTAATGTTGGTCTTAGAGACCTGGGTGCGTGACCGCAGAGTCCAGGGGACGACTGCTTGGGGCCGGTCACGCACGACTTTTTGATGAAAGGTTTTTTGAGTATTAGTTCCGCTCCTAAAAGCCCTTCGTGGGCAAACTTACCGAAGGAGACGGAAATCCGCGAGGTAGGGTGAGTTGTGACAATTTTAGGGTCGAACTTTTCTAACCATTCCTTCCTTGTGAGAAGGCAGCATCGCTGCAGATGCTGGTTGTCCGAGGGAAACACCTTACTGCTGTTACATCCCGCTGCAGTCAGTAGTACGACTTCGCCCTAAGACCTTGAGTAGCTGTTCTTAGTCTCATCGTTCTCCAATCGCCCTGCCTGGCATGGTAGAACATTCAGGAACATATGTTCCAGCCAATATAGCTCGGTTGGGTGACCACTTTAGTCAAGCCCGACCACCACGTTAAGGTAGCAGCTACGATCGGGTAGCTGGGAGTAGTGAACAGGATACTATGGAAGTAGCTTTACTATGATTTAGTATTCGTCAGAAAAACTTGTATGAAATATTGAAGCGGCTTGTGCCCGTTAGTAAATTCTATTCCTATCTACTGAGATTCAAATTCTAAAAAGTCACCACTAAACTAATCAGGTATATGACTGTAGGACTACCGAATCCATATTTACTGATTACTGAATAATAATGATTGTCTTTAGTGCTAATCAAATTCTGTAGAAAAAGTTAACTAATGGGAAAGCTTAAGGAGTAGCATTTCATGGGATTACATTCCAATAGAACCACTATAATGAAGATACTTCTACACGGGACCGAAAATGTTATAAATGACTGTCGGATACTGATCACAGTTATTTTCAGTTGAAGTTTCCTTTTTCATCATCAACAATGTATTATTTTTGTCAACATACATTAAGAAATAACATTAATTTCATAATGATTTAGTTTTCTAGTGGAAAATTTGCATAGATATACTGACATAAATCAGAAGGCTGTGTTCCTTTGTGTGTGAAGTTCTAGTGATAACAAACGACACTACATAATCATATATTTTATTGCTTTATGAATGTCATCCAGAGCTATAATTTAGTAGGTGCTGCTTTCTGGAATAAGTATTTGGTTTCGCCTTCGCTCTAAAATATTTTTATTGCTTTGCGATTGAGGTCAACCTTGACATCTTGTATTGAAGCCAATCGAAACAAACAAAATGCCATCACTTCATTGTCCCTGTAGGTGTTATTGATTATTTTAAGATGAGACACAAAGTGAAATGTTTACGTGAATGAAATATTGCCCGGTGAAGTGACGATTAATTTGATGAACTCTAGAATTAGACCAATGCAGCGTAATCAATAATATTTGATTACCTAGCACGAAACCTAGATCATCAGTATCCTACAGAACCTAGGTTTTGAGCTAGTTCACTGGTCACAGCTTCACACTAGGACTCCTAGAATTTTCCTACGAAGCTAGTCGCTAGTGGTCATATGAAAGTTGTCCGTATAGGTTTTTGAACATTTCTGAGTCTCATTAAAGTCATGAAGTAATCAATGATGGATCACCAGTGGAAACCTGGAAGCACTGGATGGCCGTTTCATCCTAGTATGAGACTCATCAGCAATATCGTGAACTGATTGTAGTTAGATATTAACACCATTGGATGCCTGCTCGTTGATCTAGCGGTTATGTTTTCATGCACGAGACCGAAGGTCCTGGGTTCGATTCCAACTCACAGGGTCATGGATACACACTGTTAATGGGTTCAAAACTAAAATGAAACGGACATCCAATAATTCTAGATTTTCAATCGTGGTCTAACACTGATTAGTTCATGATTTTAGTGAAACTCAATAATCACCACAATATCATACTGAAAATGAATTATTATTGTGATAAGATTCATCTACAAGTGAAATTAATTGTTAACGAATCATTTAATCTCTCTAAATCTAATCTCTCATGAAATTAGTTGATAGAATTCAGACTTCCTGATAAAAATCTCTATATTAGATTTTATGTTACTTACTTACGCCTGTTACCCCCAATCGAGCATAGGCAGCCCACCAGTATTCTCCAACCTACTCTGTCATGGGCATCCCTTTCCAATTCAGTCCAATTTTTATTCATTCTTCTCATGTCTTTCTCTATTTCTCGGCCTAATGCGTTCGGTCTTCCTCTTTTCCTTTGACCTTGGGGCTTCCATGTGAGGGCTTGTCTTGTGGCGCACTCAGGTGCTTTTCAAAATGTGTGTCCTATCCACTTCCACCGCTTCTTCCTGATTTCCTCCTCCACTAAAATCTGGTTTGATTTCTCCCACAGTAGGTTGTTTCTGATAGTGTCTGGCCAATAAATCAGAAGTATTTTGCGTAGACAACTGTTAATCAACACTTGTGTCTTCTGGATGATGGCTTTCGTAGTTCTCCAAGTTTCCGCTCCATACAGTAGAACTGTCTTGACATTTGTATTGAAAATCCTTATTTCGGTGTTGATTGATATTTGTTTGGAGTTCCAGATATTTTTCAATTGTAGAAATGCAGCCCTAGTTTTGCCAATCCGCGCCCTCACATCTGCATTGGATCCACCTTTCTCGTGATGATGCTGCCAAGATATGTAAATTTGTTAACGTCCTACAAGGCATCTCCATCAAGCGTGATTTGTTTGGTGCATGTTGTGTTGCATCGGATAATTTTGCTTTTTCCTTTATGTATGTTGAGACCTACTGCTGCAGAGGCTGCTGCTACACTGGTCGTCTTCTCTTGCATTTGCTGTTGCGTGTGAGATATAAGATCCAGGTCATCTGCGAAGTCCAAATCGTCCAGCTGCGTCCTAACTGTTCAGTTGATACCGTGCTTCCCTCCAGCTGTCGTCGTCTTCATAACGTATTAATAATTGGATATAAATTATTAGAGGTAAATATGTATTTCTGATTAATCTGAAATCTTACTCAATTATTTCCTTCTATTCATCATTGAAACATAAAGTTCATGAATCTATCTATACTAAACACTTTTTGAACTGGAACTTCTACTGGCGAAATGTGCTAGTTTATCAAACACATGTTTGTCTACTCGGATTCAAGCTACACAACTGAACTAAGAAATCTGAAGTAAGTGGAGTGATAATTCGAACATGATATCTGTTGGTCGAGAGTTAAGCTCTATAACCATCAAGGCCACTACTCCATAATGAAATATTTACTTACAACACAGTTTATGTGTAAAGAATATGAATATTTTTTAGATTGAGAATGACCTTACGATTCTGAAGATTAGTGTATTAATATAATATTTGGTAACAAATTATGCCCTTGTTTACTGATTGAATTCGAGAGGAAGCTTCTAGAATTTCAAAAACAGATCGATGGCTTGCGCAGCATTTTGACCATTTTCAAATTTCTAAAACTATTTAATTTGAGATAATTATTCACAACACACACATACGACGTTCTTTATTCCAGCCATAATTTTAAATAAAATTCCATTTAATTAGTGTATTATTATGATAAGACAATATGAACTATGCACATAAATTAGAGCACTTAATAAGATAAAACGAAATTAAACGTTACTTAAAAGCTCATATAAGACAAAATAGTGAAGTATACGTAATAGTTTCTTAACTGTTCAGATTATTAAACCAAATAAAACAATATTTACAATATTTGAACCTTGTGAAGATAGATTCTGATACAGAGTGAACCAAAAAACACTGGATAGTTAGTGTTAAACTCTTCAGTAGCGAACACTGAAATGACAATTCACAGACAATAGCTCACCTAGTCAACTAATCTTTACAAACTTCTAAAACAAAACATCTAGTCACGATTCAGCTTCAGGCACAGTAACCAGATGTTACATACTGAGGTACCTGTCAATCATTGGTAGAACAATCTGTCTGTTCCTCTTCGTTCGTGTGATAGAGAATATTATTCTTGCCAATTTTACCATGATTGTCTCTAACATATTAAATCATTTTGTTCATTGTTCTTCAAACACCACTGACGTTGATAAACGCCCACCCACTCAAAGAAATACGTAAAATATCTTTTGTGAGTAATCATATTTCTATCGTTCTGTCTTGTATTCATGTTAAAATGTTTGAATTACCTACATATATTTTGTCCTTCAATTTAATTGTCACACTTGTGTGAATGTGTTGTGAGTTGTGGTCATGTGACATAATCAGTTTTATCTGGGATTCATATGAATTGGTGAAACTAGTTGAAATAAGAATATTCTCGAAACATAAGTTACATACATATAGATATTATTCATTTTCATTCTCTATGTATCTTACATATGTGGTGCGAGCTACTTTTAAGTAGTATATGACGTGTCAACGTAATATTTGGCAGCAGAAGATGGGGAAGATTAAGAAAGGAACAGTTAGAATACAATGGAATTTGTATGAAACGCATGAATAGTGACAGTGGATTGATGTTTTGCAACAGGAACAGTCCAGTTCGATATGATGGACTGATATTTTGCAAATGAACGATTTACGATATGGTTTTCCAATTTTACTGAGTAACTCTGTAATTTCCGTTAAATCCAATTCGGTTGCCATCACCTGTGTTCTCCTTCACTGCACATAGTGTGGAAATAACAGTTAAGATAATTTCG